CTTTTATATTTTTCATGTTTTCTTTGCCTCACTACATCTGTGTAACTAAACAGCACAATGCTAGATTATTTGTTTTGGTTTAATTTGGCTTAGTAACATGCTTTTTCTTTAATAAAATAAAGATTATAAAACTCATTTGGTTTCCTGAACAGTACACTTGTCATAGGGTCATCTGAGAGTGCTGCCTCGGCCTAGCTTACTTAGAGTCCTGTCAGTGGTGCAAGTTAAGTCTAAGGACTACAAAGCCCACTTGACCTTTTCACAATAATATCTGAGAGTACCAGGGTGTTCTTATGTGGGCAGACCTGTGAGAAGGAGTGTTGTAGCATGGCTAGCTGAATTGGACTCTTTCAGCCCATTTTAGCATGTGCAAACTCCTGATTGCTCTCTGTCCAAGCTTACACGTGTGTTTTCGAACCCGTGTTTGCGACAGTCCCTATGGGTGATTTTTCACTTAGCGCTGGTTGGGACCATGCTTCGCATAGCGATTAAATTTTGAGTCCCCTGTTTCGCTTAACGATGGTTTAAACAGCCTCATGTTTGCTGTTTTTAAATGTTTTTCTGTTATTTATAAAGTTAAAGTTTACTGTTTAAAATGTTTGAAATCATAAACTGCACTTAATAAACCCTTTGTTAACCAAATTTGACTTTGTTCTGACTCTTTTTTAATTTGTTGTTGTATTTTTCCCCCATTGAGATGCATTGAATAGGTTTCAATGCATTTCAATTGGGGAACCGCGTTTCGCTTAGCGATGTTTCCTATGGCGATTTTCGCTTAAGGACGGCAATTCGTTCCTATTTTAACAGATTATCCGGTTTTCAATGCATTTCAATGGGAAACCGCATTTCGCTTAGTGATGAAATCGCTTAGCAGTGATTTTTTCGGAACAAATTAACATCGCTAAGCGAGGCACCACTGTATATTTAAGGCAATGATTCTAATCTTATGAAACATCAGCTACATCCCAATGCAGTGTACATTATGTACACGACTATTATGGAATCAAACTCCTTACAAATACAAACAATAGCATGAAATTTCAACATTGTGCCCAATTAATATAATTACTGTTGTATTACATAGTACTAGGGTACTATGAAGGCTGATCAACTTTTCTATTCAAAATAAATTCTTCAAATTTAGGAAAAAAATTAAAAATGTGAGCAAAACTAGAATTGACAGTCTGGTTTCCATCCCTTGTACATTCAACTGTGCTTCTGGTGCTGAATTTGGGCTGTTGTTTTAAAGTTTTAATAACTATGTGGCAGGGAGGAACAAAATGGTGTATTTTTCCCTTTTCCTTCTCCTTTTCCTTTTATGCCATTTCTGAAGTGTGTAAGCCTTGGGTTTGTAAGCCACTTCAGCTGAAAAGTGAATTAGAAATGCTGTGACTAAAAAAATAATAAAAAAAACAATACTGGAAGAGTTGTGGCAACAAAAGCAAAAGAGCTTAGCCCATTCCTTCTGTCATCTTTGGCATTCATCTTGGTCTGCATCAGTGGCAGATAGCAAAAGAAAGGGCTCTGAAAAAGTAATTGGTGTGTACTATTAGTGGAAATCAATCCTGAGTGCTCACTGGAAGGACAGATCCTGAAGCTGAGGCTCCAAGACTTTGGCCATCTCATGAGAAGAGAAGACTCCCCGGAAAAGACCCTGATGTTGGGAAAATGTGAAGGCAAGACGAGAAGGGGAGAATAGAGGACGAGATGGCGACAGGGTCACTGAAGCAACCAACATGAATTTGGCCCAACTCCGGGAGGCAGTGGAAGACAGGAGGGCCTGGCGTGCTCTGGTCCATGAGGTAATGAAGAGTCGGACACGACTAAACGACTAAACAACAACAAATTAGTGCACTGGGGCAAAAAAGTGGACTGAGAGGGCAGAAAAATGTGGCTAATGCTGACTCTGCGCTTTGAAAATAACAAAAGATGAAACAATTCTCCTGTCATTTAGGATTTTAAAAAGACATATAAGGCCCTGAAAAGTGCCTGTCAATATGACTTAAAGTACATTTTTGGAAAAGCAGAAAGAAAACAGGACCTTATAAAAATAACTGCATGGTATGTGGTTTAGTTTCGGTCATTACTGAAAAAGGAAGCATGTTGCTTTTAACTGAAATAAACAAATACACATAGTATATTGTAAACCCCACAAAAAATACTTCCTTTTAATTTTGTGGTTCTAATTTTATTAATAAGCATCTTAATTAACATGACAACATGCTGTACATAACCTGAAAGAGAACTACAGTGGGTTTGACTTACAAAGCTATTGGACGTAACAGCATATGATGCCCAACAGCACACTTCGAGAGAGTGGATTAGGGCAGCTTCGGTACAAATACACTTAATCATTTTCAAATCCTGTAATATATCACAGAGTGAAAATATCTCCCTGAAGTACAAACTCTAATACTGATATTTACAACAGTTTTTTTCCTTTCATTTATCTTTTCATAACTAGGGCTAATACACACAGTTTGTTTCCTGTGATTAACGAAATGTAAATTTTGCCTTCCACCTATTTATTGTCACAAATCCAACATTTCATTTTAAAGAAGCCCAGGGTACAATGTGATGTGAACAGTTCCTGTGAAAGGTTTTGAAATGAACTGGATTTGCACATGAAGCAAAGATTCCATGAATTTCAGTGCATAGAACTTTCTAGATACATAATAAACAAAGATTGTTAATGAGAAAACTTTCCTTTGTTAATTAAAATTAGTCACACATTTGTGTTAACAGAGACCATAACTTGGGATACTGTGTTAAAATATTGAAAATAGATTCCTATTTTCCTATTTTTTTCCTATCTGGAATAACCTCTGAAGTAATAAATACGTTTGTTGTGTTTATTTGCAGAGGAAGCTAATGAATGGTAAGAATAAATGAAATAGTTGTATAAAAACATTTTTGGAAAGTTTTCTGAAAAAGCCAAATAAACAAAATTTTTATTACAGGAAGAAACAATATTTTTTTCTATTTTTGTCTCATTGCTTATCTCTTGCAATGCTTTTCAGCTTCAAAATCAAATTTTAAATATAATGAAAAAACTAACACCTCCATGTATAGGCTAGGTTTATTAAAAGTTTGTATAAAATGTATATTAAGGGGGAAAATAGCAGTTCTTCCCATAAGAACCAATCAAGACATGGATGTTCGCTTGATGATCTCATCACACAGGGGAAAAACAATAAATAAACAAAGAAAACACACACAATGATTTTATCTAGGGTGTCTGTGTGTGTGTGTGTGACCTTTGGAACAGATGTCTTCCTTTTTGGTGATGATTTCCTCAGAAATTTATTATCATGCAACACCCCCTTGAAAACTTGTGTAGAATGTGGTCTTCACCATGCCAGGAAGATATGTTTTAAAATTTTACAAATGGCATTATTTTTTCTTTAAGAATTTTTCTTTTCTTTTAGACCATTCACCAGTGGTCACATATTTCTCAGCAAAATTTTTCAAAAATTCAAAATGAGGGGAAAAAGAGGAAATTCTCATAGTTTTCTGTCTCCAGTAGAACAATTTGAGCAGGAATGACCATGTAGGCAGACATGTCTGTTTTAATAGTTCAGAATAGAATCAAAACATTTGTTATTCCCTTAAATTTGTTCCAACCACTTTACTGCCTATCCAACTCTGAAATTTACACAGGGGAAAGTGGTGGAGGCAGAATCAAGCACTTGAATTGACCAGTCTAAATTTGGACTCAACATTGCACCGGTAGAACACCGGGATGCAAAGAAAAAATTAATAACATTACATAACATTTATGGTAAATAAATAAATTTGTATTCATACTTACAAGGGCTTAAATGAGACAGCTATATTAAATTCAGAATATTTTGATATATCATATGATACATGGCTAAGCAATAAAATAATATGCCATCCTGCTAAGGTGTTAAGATTTTTGGCAGTTTCCTCTTGGTCTATCCTCACAAATATGCTTGTCAAGAGAGGATGTCCTCAGCTGCTGTTCTCTGTATCTTAAACTCCATAATTTGAGAGGCTATCTGCCATATGTGCACAGATGGGTCAGCATGCATGCATGCATAGTTGAAGCTCCTGAATTTTTGCCTCATGTCCTTCCACTCTGGGTAGAGTGGGCAGCATATAAATTAAATAAATAAATAAAATAAGTACTGCAAGTTCTATGAACCAATAAGGAATGACTTAATTTGTCCCCTCTTGCAAAAATTCCAAGTGATTTGTTATGTAATGTTTGTCTGACTAGAAACCTTAGGATTTGCTCAAATTGTTCAATATGAAAAGTCTTCTTGTTCAAAGATGTTTATTAATTCATTGTTTTTTTTAAAAAATTCTGTGTTCTTTTATTGTGTGTTTTTGACATAATTTGACATGTATTTGAACAGGTTACATTTATTGACTGGTACTAATTTTTTTTTTAAAGTCCACATCTTTCTCAGATAGACTTTTGTCAATTAAGCTGCAGTTTTTCTAAGCTGCTAAACTGATGAGAGTGATCTCGGTGGTCCTGTTTTCAATTCTGTTCTTAACCTGATTTGTGTTTTAGTCTTGTCCTTATTGAATTTTACCACTGTTGGTTCGAGTCCCGGTTATTGGCAGAAAAGAATAGCATAAATGGGCTTAATTGGTTATAAAAATGCTAAAACATATATTTTGATATTTTAGGCTTGTATCATTTTCCTATATATAGCTTAAAAGGTCATACAATTCCTTTTCATATACTCTGGCAGGATCTAACAGGAACTATGGCCATTGCAACACATTAACTATGATTTTTTGGTATTGATTTTCCTGACAGCACTCTCAATTTGCTATTGGATTCACTCTGATGGGTGGGTTAAAAATAGTCGAATATTTCATCCATGCAAATGGATATAAGGAAGCTAGTTTCTGAAACCATTTTCTCAAACCAATAATTTTTCATGATTTAAGGATCTGTCATCTTTAATTCAAAAGACATTGTATGCATAGTGAAAAAAATACATCCAGTGAACAAAGGTTGATGGAGTCCAGGCTTTGTCTGGGAAAAAGGAAAAAAAACCTTGCCATGAGTTCTGTGCGTTACTCAATACATCCAGTGAACAAAGGTTGATGGAGTTTTTCTGGGAAAAAGGAAAAAAACCTCGCCATGAGTTCTGTGCGTTACTCGTGCAGAATTCCCATTTATTGATCAATGGTACTTGTACAGGTGCCCTCTTTGGTTTGGATCCAAAGTGCCTTTCACTGAAGGAAGTGTTTTCCCCTAAATGTATGCCTAGTGGATTGTGCACAATTAGAATCTATTAATCAGGTTCTCAGACTGCACATCTTTATTTGAGCATATCAATCACTTATAATTACTTAATAAGAATATTGTCACACCTCTCTAACAATAAGAGACAGCTTCATTGTATAAACGGTGCAGATTTTGTTAAATAACAATGGCACACATCTCTGCTGGGAATTTTGGATAGGACCAAGCCTTTAGCACTAAACTGAGCTAAAGTGAGCAGTTAATGTAGGCCAACTGCTAAGTCACAAGCAACATTGGATTCAACTGTAGGTTTCTAAATGAGGTTTACCAAATCACTAGGATGTTGAAAATCTAGAGTAGGGGTGGACAAAATGTGGCTCTTGGGCTGCTTTTGGGGCTTGAATTCTCAAACAGTCCCTATTTTTCCAGCAATAGAAGGGTGAATTATTTTCCTGGAAGCCTTCAGGAGCATGATTACAAGGCCTCCCCTGCCTTGCACCATTTAATGTGGAAACAAATTCCATTCTGGAATTTAAAAAAATCTCCATCCCAGTGAGAAATTTTTATTTGTTGGCACTTTGCACAGTGTAACCTCTGGACACAGCGGTCATCCATTTCTCACTGAAATTATAAACTGGAAATCCAGATTGAAGAATTTAGTATTCCTGAGAGTGAACTGCTTCTGGCTAAACTGCATGCTCTGCTATTGACCTCTGGGCACAATGTCACTACAGAATTCCAGAGATGATTCTGAATCAGAAGCAAGTTTCAGATCTACCTAAATCAGTCTCTGACCAGAGATTTTAATAAATTAAAATATGGTGGCCCTATAAATAATTGTTTACATGACAAATATTAAATAACAAAGGTAAGCATCAAAGATAGGAATGCAAAAATCTGTAAGTCTTATTTTCTTTCTTTTTCTCAAAATTCTACCTACATTCTCATAATGTCTATATTGGGCTATATTTAAAGCATATATTCTTCCCCATTTTGGTATGCACATCTCCTAATGCAAGGTAACATATTACACATTTTCCCAATGCACACATTTTAAACAATTTCCCCTTTAACTAAAATAATATTTCTACAATTTTTTTTCAAACATACACATTTTAGCTGTATTCATTTACATGCATACAATAATCATTTTAAACTGAAGCTTTCTCATGATTTCTGCCCAATGATGGAACACCAAAAGATATGGGTACACTTTTGTTAATAGCATCGCACAGTAACAGTTGGGTAAATTCACTAAAATTCCCTTCCTAATTATATTTAACAGTTAACTGCAGGTAGGTGGGTACATATATGCTGTCAATACTCACTACTAGGTGACAAAAATATATATTTTGATTGTGGATCAAACATTTTCCAGCACTGAACATCACTGATATTGAGTAGCTTGTCATAATTTTAGCTGTGCTCCAATAAGCAGTGAGTATCTAAAGCAACTGAATTCCAGTGTGCCACTTCTTATCTAAAACTTTTGTTGTTGTTGAAAACTAGGATTAGATACAGACTAAGCTTGGAGGCTTTATGAAGGAAATACTACTGTAAAGTTTGAAGTGAAACTTTTCCTCCTACTATTACCATTATTATTTTTTTATTTTATACATTAAAGCAAAATGTGTCAGTGGGAATGACAATATGTAAAACTATTTATATCCGTTGGTCAAATAGGGATCGGAGCCCTTTCAGCATTCATTGGAATCCTTGACAATGTGAATTTTTATAAATTTACAAGCATTTTTATATTACAGCAATCTACACACAACGCTCTATTAATAAAGTACAAAATTTTAAATTTCATTGATCAACCTATATAGAATTATTTTGCAGGATTTTTTGTCATCAACTATTTAACGTATTCTTTTCTTTTGTCGTTAACTATTTAATGTATTCTTTTCTTCTCCCCAACAAGATTTCATTAATCAAAGAAATAAAATGTAAAAGGACCAGGACTGTTTTATCTAAGAAAGATGTCTTTGTATCTGGCATAGAATTCACTCACAATTTATTCATTATGCTATATATGAAAGCTAGCACATAGAGATTGGTCATGAATGTTTAATCTTCCTGGTACATCACCTTAAGCTACTATGGAATAGCATAACAAGGGGAATATCATAATTACAATGTGAATATGTGTTTTCCACTTCTCGTTCTTGAGATTAATATTAGTGATTTGCTTCCAAATATACTGAGCCAAAGCACTTGGAGTCATTTTTCCTAATAAGTTTAGTGTGTGCTACATATGAAGCTATAGGGTGAAATCTACTAAATTGGAGCACATATATTGACAATTATCATGTTGAGGATGCCATCCTTAGAACACAGCTTCTTGGAGTGGTGAAAGGGGGGAAAGTGATTGAGAGCTCTTTTCAAGCTCCTAAAGACTAAAACTACAGACTAAAAAAAAAGAATCATAAATTTCTAATTTTGCACCTGAGACAAGAACATAAAATTGTACAACCCAATATGTTCTTAGTATTCATTTGTTAAAACTGAGTTGAATTAAAATTAAATTGGATTTTAAATTCAAATTCAACTTGAACTTCACTTAGTTGTTCCCATCACACTTAAGAGATTTGCTTTTGTCATCAGTGTTTACACAGCTGTTTCTATAAATGGGAAATTTGGATTCTTGCTCACATGGTAGTGCTGTCAAAAGTACCAACTAAAAGGCCAGAGATCAGCTGCTGCTTCATAGTATCTGAGTAGGGAATTACTGAATAGGGCTGTGCAAATGTGCTCTTCTCCATACTTGGGATAGTAAGGCATCTGTTTTCTCCCATTCAGGTGCTTGAGACAAATATCTCATATATTCATGCTTACTGTGGCTCTGCTAAAAACAGAACCATCATTCTCTGTCTTTCCACACAGACACAACTCTGGATGTCTGTCTCTCTACCTATCTTTATGTATAGATATGAAAAGAGAGAAAATAACTATATTAACACATTCAAATTATTCATTTTGACAAAAAAAGTATAAATGAGCATAATAGATCTGCCCCTTTCTACTTTTCTCCTTTGCTCTACACAAATCAGAGCAAATACATCTACAGCATGAAGCATTCTCTGCTTGTGGAAGCTCTTTTCTATAATCGAAAACTGGGGTCTCGCACAAAGAAGTGCAAGATCATGAATTCATTTTTTTCCATAATTCATAAATGTCTTCATATTTGGAATGAAAAGAAGGTTTTTTTTTGGGGGGGGGTAAAATGTGAGAGAAATAAAATGAGATAATCCATTTGTGACTAGGGCCTTGATGGGTTGACTTTTAAAAGTTTGAGTTCAAATTCCTTTATATTCAACCATATTAGTACTAAGAATTTGTTATCATCTCTCCCCCCCCCAAAAAAAAGTACCTTTGCATTGTGCCACTGTGTATGCTGAAAATTTAGGCAATGCAGTTGGGTCAACATTTTAGTTCAATTTTTGAAGAATTTATGAAATTTCATGCAGCAGGACAGAAAGAACTAGCAACTGGGAAAAAAATCTGAATGTGGAAGAAAGATGGCATATTTTGGAGAGATTCTTTATAACTAAGGAGATTATGGATAACATTGCCTGCTGTATGAAATGTTTAACATGTAACTAAGTGTTGCTTCCTCCCTTTTATTCTAAAGTGAGTACGGAGGGAAGTAATCCAGACTAGGTCAGTGTTGTTAGGGATTCTTTAAACAACTCTCTCTAAAATCCCTAATCTAGTGCTGTTGAGTCCTCCCCCCCCCCCTTATAAGGGGCAAATTTCCCAATAACATCAAGAAAATGGGGAAAAAATAAGTTTTAAATCCTCACTCCGTCTACATACAATCTCTAAAATAAGATTTAAAAAAGGAAACAAATGCTATGACCTGGTCTGAGGTTGGTTTTTTTTAAAAATGAAATTGGGGCTCACCAATGTCATGGAGGCAAAAGACTGTTCTTGTTAAATCATCTTTTGAAGAATTCAGTGTGAGTGGCAATTATGCTGTTTTTATCATGCCCAAGATAAAGAGATGACCTGAAAGCAAAGAAAAAGTTGGAAAGTTCCCCTATCTTTTACTGCCACTGTGTGAATTTCATCCAGTTCTAAGGAGGAAGACAGCCCTTCTCTTCAAATTGTACTTTTTCCCATGACAATGTCTGTAATCTTTTGTTAGTGGGTGGGTATTTTTTGCATACTAGTTACTGAGTCTGCACTGCCATTAATTCATAGGGCACTACTGCTCAGCTTTAATTCAGAATTCTATATACATAAATATTTACAAACCTGAAGAGGTTTGCATAAATTTAAAATTGTGTTAAGATGTGACTATGTACACTCATACTTTGAAGCCTGAAATAGCTTAATTTGTCAAGATATGCCTTTTTATAACTGGTGCTCATGGATCAAAGTGGTGTTGCTCCCCGAGACGGGTCTGGCCTGAGCAGGAATGAAGTTTGCAAGGGGAATAACTTTGACAGGCTCTTCGGTGGCACAATGTCTTTCACAGGTGTTGTAGAACTGAGGCCGAGGACCCCCTTGACCTTTGTCAGTATCATCCTTAGGAAGGGACCTTCCAAGAGTGTGCCTTCCCTCTGGCATGGCTCCTCGTCCCCATCCCTGCTGGAAACCAAAGGCTGGCAAAGGAGGGTTAGATTGCTGGTACTGTGTCAACGAAGGAGGCATCCAGCAGTTGTCAGAATGGCCAAGAATGAGACATTCTTGTGTGCAGGTTTCAGATACTTCAGCAAGCGCTTTCTGGAGGTTCACTTCGATCGCTTAAAAAAAGAGAAAGAAAAGAAGGGTCTTAGAAATCATTTATATTTTACACATTGCTTTTTATGTCTGAAGAATTCAAGCCTGAAATCTAGTTCTTAGTTCCAACTAAACAAGACCCGGTGAATCAGTGAGACTTTTTTAAATAAGCAAGCAAGTCCCATTGATAAGGGACTCTGGTTGGGATTAACTTGAATCAACCAGTTAGACATATCTTGACAACTATGTGTAACACAACACTATTAAGTGAACCACGGTGGCATTTTGTGGGATAATATTTTGGAATTGATGGAGATTTTCTGAACTAGAACATTGTGCCATTGCCATGTAGCAGGTAAATGTCTAGGTTTGACAGTGTAGTGATAAAGCAGCAGCACACTTTAGTGATGAATTACACCAGAGCCACCTGATGGTTGCTGGACAAGGAGATGTGCTGGACAATTGACTTTTGCAGTCTAGCTTATTTACAGTACCTGTTTTATTTCCACACCACACCAGAACTCCATGCTTGTCCAAAATTTACCAAAATGTAAGCATGTTTAGAGTAACAGATTGCTATTAGGAGGCTCTGGAAACAGTGGGAAATGCTATTTCCACAATGTCCAGTATCAACAGATATGCCTATGAGCTGCCAGTATCCAGAATGTGGGGAAATGACATTAAAAGGAAGATGTCCAACAATATTTTACCAGATCTGATTATCCAATTTGGGGTAGAAGTGGGCAAAATGTTCTTGCATTCTGTGTAAATCCATTACCCAAAATGAACTGGAGGCAAAAATGGCCAAAAGAAAGGCAGATAATTGTCCATTTTCTCAGACTGAGGTAGGAACATGGGAGTCCTCCATAGTCTCCTGAGCATCATATGTCCCTCTGAACACTGTCCACTTCGATTTAGGATATCCAGCAATCCACAAAATTTCCTTCAAATTAATTCAGTCGAAATGCTTCAGAAGAGCAAACATGGCAATGGAACACCCACCATTAGTTTACACTTCCTTGACAATTTCACCATTTTAAAAAAGCCAGTGTTGTTTTCATATCACACGTCTCCACCATCTTTATGTTTTGGCATTTTTTTGTTTTTATCCAGGTGTTATTCCACATAAGAGATTAACTAGAGCAGTGGTTCCCAACCTTGGGCCTCCAGATGTTCTTGGACTACAACTTCCAGAAGCCTTCACCACTACTTCCGCTGGCCAGGATTTCTAGGAGCTGAAGTCCAAGAACATCTGGAGGCCCACAGTTGGGGACCACTGAAGTAGAGCATTCTGAAGGAAAATGATAATGACTTAAACTCAGATACTAGAATTTTGATACATTGTCAACTGTCATAGAAACAATGTACAGACATGGTAACACATGCGTGCATGTACTGTACACATGTATTTTCAGTTACATCCTGAAAATATTATTCAACAAAAATCTGTATGGAAGAAATTGCATAAGCTAAAAAAAAAGACTAATAATATAGATGAAGACACTGGTCCTGCATGAAAGCTGGTGTTGAAATGTGGAATTTGATTTTACTGGAGGTAAATTCGAATTCCACATTTGAATACCAGCTTTTGTGCAGGACCAGTGTCTTCATCCATATTATTAGTCTTCTTATTCCTTATGCAATTTCTCTCATACAGATCCTTGCTGAATAATATTTAGGCATAGAGCTGCATCAGAATGAAAAACAACATATTTTAGGCGGGCATCTCTCTTTCTATGAAGCAGAGAAATGAGACATTTACATAATAAGTTAAACTAAGTTTCACAAGTGGTGACCTAAAAGAATTGTCAAAATCATCATAAGAAATTTCCATCAGTTGTTTGAGCTGGCCAACATTTAAAAAATGGAGAAAAAAAGTAGTCAGTCAAAACCCAGAAACTAATAGTCAGTAATAAAATAAGCTAGTAAAGATAATTAGGACGCAAACTGTGCTAAAGGAAGAGAGAAAAAAGGACATACTATACCTAGTAGTATGAAATAGTTAGTTCAGCATTCCATAAGGCTGGATTTAAAAAAAGCACTTCTCCAAACAAGTATTATAACTTTGAAATTGGACCTTAAATCAGTGCCAAATTTGTGATGTTGCTTTGTTCCACATCTGGAGATGTTTGGGCAAACAGTTTTTGAGCTATGAGTTTTTTAAAAGGAAAACTATTATCCCCCATGGACACACAAGAAACCATTTCTGTCTGCAGATTTACCACAGATCAAATACACTGAAAAGACCAAACGTGCTTACATTAACAGAGTGGTTAGTCCCTGCCCCTCATTTAATCAGGAAGGAATCTAGGCTTCGGAGGGGGGCAATATTAATTTTGAAAAAAAGGCATTTGAGTTTCTGGCTTTCTGTCTAAACATAAACTTCATTACAAGCTCAGGGGGTGTGGGAGAATATTTGAATTTTTGATTCCGCTAGTCAGGATTTAATTAAATGAAACTCTTTTAATATCTGTCTGGCCAGAGTTTCATTTCTGAAACTGAGTGTGAACATTCAGAAGCTCACTCATTTAAGTTGTGAAATTACTGTTTTTTATTTGAGGCTGGGGATGAATTACCTCAAAGTCAGCAGAACATGGGTGCCTATTCTGCCCAACTTGTCACTATACCACTGGAGAGGGGAAAAAACTCTCCAAAGATGCTATTTGTCATTTAGTCACTTCTGATGTGTGGTGATTATGGACCTTTCTGGTTTGTAATACAGGCACTCCTCACTTAACAACTGAGTTCCATTCTTATGGCTTGGTCATTAAGCAAATTGGTTGATAAGTGAGGAGCTTAAAGGCAGAAGCAGGAAGGAGCCAGAGCCATCTGGAAGCAGCAGCGTTGCTACCAGCTTAGTAAAAAAAAAAAAACAGTTAAAAGCTTCTGCATTGCTACTAGCTGGTTTGAGAGCCACGGGGAGCCACAAGAGGTGAGGGGCCCACTTTGGGAAGGTCAGGCATTGATCCTGGCAGAATGAGACAAAGACTGAGAAAGGGGTTTCCCTCTTACTGGAGAACTGGTTGCAAGTCCCAGCGGTTGTTTAACAACTGGTCATTAAGTGAGGAGTGGCTGTAAATGTGGGGTAGATCATTATGTTCCATCTGATATGAGTTACTTGCAACTTCTGGTGCTACTTCAAATAGATTCCAAAAGATACTTATTTCCTTTCCATGCTTATGGAAGTCAGTGAATCTGGAATTCCACCTGCAATAGGCTCAATGCTGTGATGTGTCTTTCAACACTGAATTGTAAATTCATGTCATTCTCAAATTTTAGTTTATTGCAGCATAAAGAAATTTGAAAATTTACTTCCACTAACTTGCTTCACAAAAATGTGTAGCTTTGCATCAAAAGCTTTCAATTCAGAATGCATGACACACACAAGCTTTCCCTTTCCCTACAGCCTTAGATGCAATTTGTTCATATGAGCTGTGATACCAGTTAAGAAAGCCAAATAAAAATCTATCCATGTTCAAAAAGTACTTCTTGACCTTTTCCTTAAGTCATGATGAAGACTTTAAAAATATCTGAGGAAAAGTTAACTGATGAAAAAAAAAAAGTGAGCTTCTGGTATTTCCTCTAGTGTGACGTCACTTTGTGAAAGGAAGGGAGCAGAAGTGGGCACCTGTAAGACTATCTTGACTGCTGCTAATGGTGTCAAAGCTGATTTAGGCTTTTCCTGCTGGCAACATAGGCACAATATTGTGCAGCAATATTGGACCATTTCCTGGCTTCTTGAATGAATAAACCAGGGAGTTTTTAAAGAACTGAAATATTTTTGCACAATGAATATAAACAGCATTGGAATCTCATTCATAGTCATTTAGCAAAGATTCATAATTACAGACTGTGCAATCCTTTGGGGAAAAACCAATTTCAATTTTGTTGCATTTTTGCAAATCTTACCTGCATTTTTAATTGCCCTTGTTGCATATTGAGTTGTGAGACACTGTACATTTAAATTTTTAGGTTCTGCATTCATAGACATCTTTTATCTAATGTACACAATATTTCTCCATAAAGCCCCAGTGACTGATAACTTTGGAGGAGACAGCCCTTTACTCCTTAAATGTCTGCACATTTCTCCCATTGATGTGCATTTTAGCTGTATGGATTTTAAAATGCACTGATTGGTATACACTCTCTCTCTGACATCTCTGTAAGCCTCACATATCTACACATTCCTAAGGCAAAATGCATTTCCTCCTACAAAACTGCAAAACACGCTGTTGTAGATTGTCGAATCCAGCAATACCGTTTCTATCACTATCTGAGTTACTTCCCGATTGAGGAGTATGTTCAATTATTTCCAAGTCACCCTGATAGAACTGGGATAACTTTTTTTCTGTCATCATTACTGTGAATATGGTGGTTCCACAATGCTTTTATATGTTTTCTCCTCCTGCCTCTCTCATTGTCACACACATGTACACATAGGTACATTGTTCCTATTAAAATGAATATATTTTATTCATATATTTTCTATACATTATAGCTACAGAACTGTATCAGAGAAGTTGAAATTTTTAAAACTTGCAGAAGGAAATTACAAGCCACTTGTCACTCCCAATATGGAGAGGGCCAAATTGTAGATATTTACCATGTAGCTGTTAAAGCTGAAGAGCCCTCTGCTGGGAGGAATAGAAGAGATGGCAATTCTTGCTCAGAACTACTGTGGCAGAATAAACAGGGATGAAAAGGCAAACAGGAACAGTTTGCATGGAAGGCAAGTGGCTCCGATATGGCAAGTGATTCTGCCTTTTCAACTCTTGCTGAATGACAACTGCCTATACACATAGAAGAAAAAAAAACACCACTGTCCTCTTGCCTGAATATATCTATGGACTCTGACCAAGGTCCTACATTACATACAGTGGTGCCCCGCTAGACGCTTACCTCGCATGACGTTGAAATCATTTTTGGGATTGCTATTGCGATTGCAAAACAATGATTCCAAAGGGGTTTTTCGCATTACATTGATTAGGATCCTGTTTCGCGAACCATTTGCTCGCTAAACGAT